TAGGTACACGGTAAACTCTTTGCTGTAATCAGTGAACAATCCTTCTCATTTCGAAACCGACCTTCCCTAAACCTCGGTGTGACTAATCAATATGTATTCTTTCTTGATAAGCTTGTACGAGGTTGATAAATATATTTATTTTCGGCTAACGTTTCGACGTCTTCGTCTTCCTCAGAGCCGGTGATCCGAGTCCGATGGTCCATGCTTGTTGTTCGTCTCGACGTTGCGTCTTCGCCTTCGTGTCGAGCCAGATCTTCCTCAGTGAGCCATCTTCTCGAATGAGGCATCCTCACTCAGTGATGCCCTTTTATACACGATGCTGATGGTGGATATATAATGACAATGTCCGGTGGTAACAACTTGTACTTCTTCCGGACATACATCATTGCGCACATCGTGCAGAGGTCGGTGTATTATCAGCTAGCACAAAGCGTAGCATGGACCATCGACTCGGATCACCGGCTCTGAGGAAGACGAAGACGTCGAAACGTTAGCCGAAAATAAATATATTTATCAACCTCGTACAAGCTTATCAAGAAAGAATACATATTGATTAGTCACACCGAGGTTTAGGGAAGGTCGGTTTCGAAATGAGAAGGATTGTTCACTGATTACAGCAAAGAGTTTACCGTGTACCTACGGCGTTCGATAGATTTGGAAAATGAAATGAAGGAGGAGTATGCGCGCAAAGAAAACAGTACTGGCCGCGTTAGAATCCTTCAGAAAGGTTGATAACCAACTGATGGACCAAGCACGTTTTTGACTCATCTGTCGCGCCACCGATCTATCTTGTCTTCGAGGTATCGAAAGCGGAAAAGATTGTTCAAGGACACGTAGATGGAAAGAACAAGAGGTGTCTCACAAATATTCATCAGCCAGAGGAGCATTTAGAGCTCATTGACAGAATTTAGTCCCTATACTATTCAAATATGTTGCAGAGAGAGAATTAACAAACCAGTCCCATTGATTTTTGCAAATACCATAATACAGTACCCACTTTTGGTTTTTTATGCCTGAAAGCAATTAAGTTTTCAACAGCAAACTATTAGAAACTCAAATAAAGAACAAACTAAAATTCAGTCTTGATTCCTAGCCAAATTCAGCTTTTCTACTCACACCGTATTTTCGGTTTTCTTCATACAGTAACGCTGGGCTTTCAATAAAGCCCTTGAAACATACCATGATCATTTTTGTTTTATCAAGCTACGTTTTAAAAAATTAATGGCGAATTCTTTTCATGACAAAACGGAAGACAACCACAACGTTGCTGAGATATTTGCAAAACTCTGGACCGCAGGTGTCTATGGTGGGGAACGAACGCGCTATTATCCTTTCCGGGGAGTAACGCGTTCACCACCACACCATGCGGGTCCTTTGTTTCGCACGTCTCTCAGCTATTTCTATCGATCTTTTTGCCACAGCAATCACCCGTCAGCGGGANCATTTTTGTTTTATCAAGCTACGTTTTAAAAAATTAATGGCGAATTCTTTTCATGACAAAACGGAAGACAACCACAACGTTGCTGAGATATTTGCAAAACTCTGGACCGCAGGTGTCTATGGTGGGGAACGAACGCGCTATTATCCTTTCCGGGGAGTAACGCGTTCACCACCACACCATGCGGGTCCTTTGTTTCGCACGTCTCTCAGCTATTTCTATCGATCTTTTTGCCACAGCAATCACCCGTCAGCGGGATCAAAAAGACCGATAGGAATAGCTGAGAGACGTGCGAAACAAAGGACCCGCATGGTGTGGTGGTGAACGCGTTACTCCCCGGAAAGGATAATAGCGCGTTCGTTCCCCACCATAGACACCTGCGGTCCAGAGTTTTGCAAATATCTCAGCAACGTTGTGGTTGTATTTCGTTTAGTAACCTGCCATGAAAATTATAGAAGGCAGAAAACAAAACGTTAAACAAAACGGAAGTTTCATATCCTTAACTGACCATTGTAACACAGTGATCAAGGAAGCAACTGTGAGGCACATAGTGTTTGGTTCGATCCCGTCCCGATCTTGCGATCATGCGTTCTTCATGGATTAAGTTTTCTTTACAATAGGACTTACCGTGCCTAACAATTCCTACAAAAGAGCACTAAAAAATACTTACTATTGGATTTTGAAGTGAGGATCCTAAATGGAATTTTCTCATTAGTAAAGACACTGTACACTGCAGAATGTGCTGCTCAGTCCCCATTGTTATTATAATGAGACTTTTTCTTCGTCTTTCTTATTCATTACTATTTAACACGATGGGGCTGTGAAAGCAAAGCAGCTTCTCAGGTGGTGCTAAATTCCCTCGATATGGTGATTACCTCCATCGAACCAATTGCGAAAGCGACACAAGATGGGGGAAAAAACTGTGTACCATAGATAGCACGTGAAAGAAAGCAATAACTAAAGATTTAAAGTTTTTAAAGTATCTAGCACTAAAGTCCTCAATTGTTTTCAGTTTCAATATTCGTTGGCACGGTTTCGACGGCGTTACTGTGCGAACTCGTCCGAGTATTGTGATTTTGACGATCTTGTCGCGGTGATCGCCGACGGTACGTCGAGCGGTCACGCGTCGCCGCGTGAGAGATTCGACTATCTGGGTTCATTGTTCTTTTCCGGCACCGTTATATCCACTATTGGTAGGCTCAGCTTCCATATTACTTGAAAAATTTTTCTACTGGAAAGAGCACTTCATCGTTTAGCGATTTGATTTCGTCAAATGCGTGTGCTAGTGACATTTAAGCAGCTAATGAATTCACTGGGCTATTAAATGTAATCGTTGCACGATAAAAGTTGAATGGCCTATTATTAAAAGCTAAGACGAATCGTTCAGACCCACGTGCAATTTCAATTTGGCTGATAACTTAATAAGTGGGCTAAATTTTCTTGTCCTGTTATATCGAAGTCTGGGGCCAACAATGCGAGTCTGGTTTACTCTCAAATGGTGTATTCTTGATAACTTAAAGGAAGTATGAACCAGCTTTTAAAGTGCAGTTTGACTACCATGAACGTCTCCAAAAAAAGATGTGGTAGACCATGGATGCGAGCAACTAATGTAATGTTGGCATAATTTTATAAAAGTGAGCGATTCTTAATATAGCTGAAGGAGGTCCGGAGGAGGAGTGGTAGTGACGCTGTTCTATAAGCTCAGTGCCCTGGTTAAGCCGCCCAAGGTCAACCAACATTGCCGTCCCTACCGAGTCGTCTAGGATTCACAATACTAGATTTTGGATCATATAAGAAAATGATTGCTAAGAACTTTACCAATTTCTGTGACTTGTGCATATTATTACAACATTTTCTTAAAAAAAAAGAAAAAAGACAAAAATTAACTATTGATGATAATAGCAATTTCATCGAAACATATTTAATTAAAGTATTGTTGCACAAGAAATAAAAACTCTCGGCATTGATCAATCCTGAGAGATGCGCCATGCATTCAACTTCAATAAGCATCGTTTGAAGCTGGTTGAATGCATATGTGGCCTTTAAAATGACTCGCGCTGGCCTACCGATGTATCGAGGCAGTACTGCTATCCTTCCAGACAAGTCTGGTACCAATTTCCTGACCTCGGAGGGATGGAAGGCTTGGTGAGCCTAGGGCGCGGGAATCGACCCCAAATGTTGGTCGCGGGCACCTCCGGCCACTGCGCCACACGCGCCCTTTTTGCACAATAAATTCAAATATGGCGTTTTCAATACTCTGCCATTAATTCCAGATTTCATAGATTTTTGTTAATGATACCATATAACTTTTGATCGTAAGAAATATGGTTAATGTAAGAATCGTGATTTCATCAAACATGAAAATTAGAAATGTCCAGCTCCATAGCCTTCACACTCACATCGGACCCATGAGCGATATGGGTGGAGAACGTATGCACAGAGTAAAGCTGATCATCATCCGGATAATGAAAAACGTTAAAAAAATAATCATATATAAAGAATAACACTGTGCTAGTTAAGCGTAGTGGTCAGAGCTGCTCTTCAATACACGTTTGCTCGTTGGTTTGATCACGAGCTGTGAACAAACTAAGCCTGCCATTCCCTAACGGAATTTTTTAAACAAATTCGTTTGATACATCGGTGCAATCTCGCAGGTCACCGCATATGTTAAATAAGCATTCGGTAACCTCTACTTTGCGATGATTAAAAGCATGAAGGATTGAACGCTCGGCATCGATCAATCCCTGAGTAATGAGCAACTCATTCAACATCATGGAGCATCGTTAGGACTGATCGAACGCATATCTGATATACACAGTGACCTACGGTTCGCCGTCAGTGTTAGAAATGCTATCCTTCCAGACAAGTCTGGTACCAATTTGTAGATCTTGGCTGTATGAAAGGCTTGCTGAGCAAAGGTCACGCGATCGAACCAACAACATGTTCACTGTACAGCAACCACGTTATACATTCATAATGTCAGGATTCGGCTCATCAACACCAAGAACTGCGGCTGGACGAGTTCTCACGATTCCGTATGGTTTGGTTGGTTGTACAAGTTGTGTGCTGTTTTTCAATTTGTTTCTTGAGCGATTCGTAACTGCTCTGTCATATTTTCTTAGGTGAGAAATAGTTTTCTTTCTAACTATTTTTTATAAGTACAACTATTTGAAACAGTTTTTGGTTCTATTTCCAAGAACACTATTATTAATACGAAATCAAATGAATGGTAAATAAATGACCAAACGAGACACATAATACTTCAATCGCCTTAGTGACTGATCATACTGTACTCAATGTTAGGCACTCCTGGATACCAAGCTGTGACCTACAGTGGTTGTTTATCACCTGGCTGAGAGTAGACCAGTGTTGCGGCAGTCCGATGTGCTACAGTTAGGTAGCTTCTCATGATGAAAAAAGGAACACTTAAAAAGACGTGCTGTGCCACAAATGTGTTGGCATTCGTGCGTCTAGAGCGGATATGACCCACTAAGCTGCACAACTGTCTGAAGAGGACACTTGAAGTTACTGTACAAGTGGTACAAGTGACTAAGTCGGCTCTTTTGCAGGATTTTACGACATCAACCAAAATATTCAGCATGCTCTTTAACATTAAACTTAGTACTAATTAGTTGGCATTACATGCAACCGTATGATGGTGGTTAAATGAAGTTAAGACTTTCAGACACATTCATGAACGAAAAGTAAAACGACGGATGAAAAAGCCGTACGAGAGTAGCACTATGAACAGACCCGTGACGTTATTAATCAACAACAAAGATTACTGTGAATCGGCAAGGTATCCGTTTTTTGTACTGCAAAACTCGTCTATGCGTTATTGTTGTCCGACAACGTTATTGTGTATCACGCAATTCGATTAATATCTAATCGAAAAAAAATTTCTTAGCATTCTGTTTTTTTGATGGGTGGACTCGAGTTTGTTATCACACCATTTATCCACATTAACTGGCGTTTAGGCGATTTCGTCTTCTTCAGGACATCGAGAAGTAAAATTGGCCCGAAATCCATTCAGTCAAATACTTTTATATTCCCAGAAGATAAAAGTTAAGAACTTTCATTCCTTCGGCAAGCGACTTCTTTTAAACACTTACCGTTTTCAGCGATGCTGAGATATTTGCAAAACTCCGGACCGCAGGTGTATGCGGTGGGGAACAAACGCGCTGTTGTCCTTTCCGGGGAGTAGCGCGTTCACCACCACTCCACGCGGGTCCTTCGTTACGCCTGTCTCAGCTATTTCCGTTGATCCTTTGCCATAAGCAATCACCCATTAGCGGGATTGATCTGCGGAACCCAATCATTAAAGATGATGAGGTAGTTCCTAGGAACGACTTTCTATTAACCTCGGCATTGGAATATGAATGCGTCGTTTTCTTGTTCAGCAATCGCGAGGTTTTTAAACAGCATACATTTACTTCCATAGAGAAACAGAGTACAAAACAATACAACACAAGTTGACGTTTCGGCAGTATCGGCCTCTTCAGAGCCTGGAAGGGTATACTGATATACAATCTACCAAGCCAAACGCTTCAATACCACTTACAAAAAGACGAAAAACTCCAAGGCAATTACATGATCAACAGCTTTTCGAAAAACTCACTGCTTTTTCGTGACTTCCAATGAGGATGTTTAGAACAGCTGATTATAGTCGCATATGGTTGACAACTGCACCGCTCCATATCAGAAATTGATGGGAACATACGGGGTCAGGACGCGCATGACCTCTGGGCATTCATCCCTGCTATTCATTGTAGGGTTTTCGGCATTTATTCAAGAAGCCTCAAAAAGTTTTCGCGCTGCTGTTTAAGTCTCCTGTGCGAGGATATTGCCTTTTGCTTCAAAATCGTCCTCGCTGTGCTTTTGTATCCTATACGTGCCTAGTGGGGTAGTTCGCCTTAGTTTTCGTTTGCCATCTAGGTGTTCTTTTATACGGATACACAAAAGTCTGCCCGTTTCTCCAATATATTCATCTCCGCAATTATTACAAGAGATCAGGTATATCATACCTGAACTCATGCACCGTACCTGCCGTAAGGGCAAATTACGCAATTTGTTGTTTCACATAGACGGTCATACAGACGGTTACGAACCAATTGACGACGTAAAGTAGCCGGTGGTATTTCAACTATCCCCACCGATTCCTCTAGACCTGCCCTTCCTAAGCATCGTTCTATAGCTACGCTTACTTCATCGCTTATAAAAGGCAACATAAACGGGACTTTCTTTTGGCCAAATGTTTCGCGTAGGCGCGTCGCTCTCCTTCTTTCGTAGCCATTGGAGATGGCTATTTGCCGAGCCAAGTCGCGCGATTCTTCCTTTAGTTCCCTGGTAGTGCACACAGAGGTGGCTGTTCGAAACATGTTTCTCACAATAGCCCTCTTTGTGTGTGAAGGGTGGGAAGAAAGGAAATGGACTCATGTAACCGCTAGTTAATAGGTCTATTTGAATGTTTAAAAAACGAAAGCCACTTTCTTCTCGGTTTCTCCCGGGTGAATTTAATGTACTCAGACTGCTCATTCAATAATTCAAAGCATTTGCCCATCTCTTCCTGCGCAGAGAAGACGACAAAACAACCATATATGCACCTGTAGTGGAATAGCGGCTGGAGAACGAGAACGGGGGCTTCTATCCTAGACAAAAACACAATGGCAGGGGCTGGGGCAAGTCGCTTTCCCATTCCCAACCCCCTTATTTGCGCGAAATAATTCCCAGACCATTTGAAAATCGAGCAGTTTAGACACTCCTTTAAGAGAGCCATTAGCTGCTGGATGGACAAGACATACATGGCGGCTAACTTCTTGTTGAACATGAAGGAAGAATAAATATGCATGGCTTCTACATCCAACAGCTAATAGCTCTCTTAAAGGAGTGCCTAAACTGCTCGATTTGCTTTGAATTATTGAACGAGCAGTCTGAGTACATAAAGTTCACCCGGGAGGAACCGAGAAGAAAGTGGCTTTCGTTTTTAAACATTTAAATAAACCTATCAAGTAGCGGTTACATGACAAAGTGGTATCGAAAGCCAAGTAACAAGAACATCCTCGTTCATTTCCTTTCTTCCCACCCTTCACACACAAAGAGGGCGATTGTGAGAAACATGTTTCGAACAGCCGCAGGGAACTAAAGGAAGAGTCGCGCGACTTGGCTCGGCAAATAGCCATCTCCAATGGCTACGAAATAGTAACCCCACGAGAAAAGATTAGAAGCAGAGCAACGCACGAAAACGAAACACGTGACCAAAAGAAAATCCCGTTTATGTTGCCTTTTATAAGCGACGAAGTAAGCGCAGCTATAAAACGATGCTTAAGAAGGGCAGGTCTAGAGGAATCGGTAGCGATAGTTGAAATACCACCGACTACTCTACGTCGCCAATTAGTTCGCAACCGCCTGTATGACTGCCTATGTTAAACAACAAATTGCGTAATTTGTCCTTACGGCAGGGACGGGGATTGCATGAGTTCAGGTACGATATACCTGATCTCTTGTAACAATTGCGGAGATGAATATATTGACGAAACGGGCAGACCTTTGTGTATCCGTATAAAAGAACACCTAGATGGCAAACGAAAACTAAGACGAAGTACCCCACNAAAGAAAATCCCGTTTATGTTGCCTTTTATAAGCGACGAAGTAAGCGCAGCTATAAAACGATGCTTAAGAAGGGCAGGTCTAGAGGAATCGGTAGCGATAGTTGAAATACCACCGACTACTCTACGTCGCCAATTAGTTCGCAACCGCCTGTATGACTGCCTATGTTAAACAACAAATTGCGTAATTTGTCCTTACGGCAGGGACGGTGATTGCATGAGTTCAGGTACGATATACCTGATCTCTTGTAACAATTGCGGAGATGAATATATTGACGAAACGGGCAGACCTTTGTGTATCCGTATAAAAGAACACCTAGATGGCAAACGAAAACTAAGACGAAGTACCCCACTAGACACGTATAGGATACAAAAACACAGCGGAGACGATTTTGAGGTAAAAGTCAATATCCTCGCACAGGAGACTAGAACAGCGGCGCGGAAACTTCTTAAGGCTTTTTGGATAAATGCCAAAAACCACATAATGAATAGCCGGAAGGAATGCCCGGAGGTCATACGCGACCTGACCCCTTATGTTCGCATCAATTTCTGATGTGGGATGGTGCAGTCATCAACCATATGCGACTATAATCAGTTGTTCTAAACTTCCTCATTGAAAGTCACGAAAAAGCGGTGAGTTCTTCGAGAAGCTGTTGATCATGTGGTTGCCATAGAGTTTTTCGTCTCTGTGTATGTTGCTGAAGCATTTGGCCTAGTACATTGTATATCAGTATACCCTTCCAGGCTCTGAAGAAAGCGATACTGCTGAAACGTCAGCTAGTGTTGTATTGTATTGTGTTTCTCTATGGAAGTAAATGTATGCTATTTAAAAACCTCGCGATTGCTTAACAAGAAAACGATGATGAGATATTTGCAAAACTTCGGGCCGCAGGTGGCTGTGCTGGGGAACGAATGAGCTGTTGTCCTTTCCGGACTGTTCGTTAAAAAGAATAGGCAGTAACTAAAAAGGTTCAGATTGTGATTATAACCGCGGCCTCGCCTTAACTGGGTTCGTTGCCGATTTGGGCCCCCCAGATCAATCCCGCTGACGGGTGACTGCTGATGGCGAAAGAACGATAGAACTAGCTGAGACACAGGCGAAAGGAATGACCCGCATGGTGTGGTGGTGAACCCGCTACTCCTCGGAAAGAACAATAACGCGTTCGTGTCCCACCGCATACACCTGCGGTCCGGAGTTTTGCAAATATCTCAGCATCATTGAAGTGATATTTCACAATGTATACCCTGCCGTTAAAAAGAGTAGGCAGTAAATAATAAGTTAAAAAATTGCCGTTTTGTTCTTCAAAAGTCCTCCAGTTATTTGAGACCAGCAGCACACAGCCTTACGGTGGTGAGGAATGTACCCGGTGCAGTTTAAAAATTAGTCTGAGGTGTGGAGTGATGTCGCGCTTGATCACAAAGCACTCCTCCTACCGACTAATTTTCGAATTTTTGGAATTTATTCACATATTGTTTAGCTCTTGTGAAGGTGTAACAGATAACTGGAGACCATCGGTCTACAAAGTGTTCTTCTGCTTATTCAGGTTTGTAATGTTTAACCGCAACTGAGTGAGAATGCTTTAGATAATCAATTTTTCAGTATATCGACGTTGTTGATTAATTCGGCCGCACTCATCTACTCGCATGTGGAGGATTGGGCCTACATAGAAGCGCTTTATTATTGTTTTATAAGGTTTGAATTGCCTGGAAAACGGTCATGATTTCGCAACAATAAATAGATGTAGCCGTCCAGAAAGAAACAATTCAAAGGAAAACGAACACATAAATGAATAAGTGTGAGCCACTTCGAATTATTTCTAGTTTTGCAACAATTGGTTTCGGCGACTACGTGTCAAATCATAAAGACGTCACGAAAATGAATGGAGATGTGTACAGGTGAATGTGAATGAATTTAAGACTTGCGTATATATATATATATATATATATATATATATATATATATACATAGTATATATATATATATGGACGTATATGTGCATATTTATACGGACATAGATAGATATATGCATATATGTATACACTCTTGTTCATACATATATATACTATGTACGTATTTATTATTTACATTCATACTTATACTTATATTTTTATAAATAAAAACGAATGCAAATTTGTTATTTTCAAGCGATCTAACATCAAATGTTGTACGTACCCCAAGAGTTCTTGCATCTATTTCGTTCCCCACATTCATAATACACGAAACTCTGGATTTTTGTGTAGATCGGGCTGACACTTAGAGGCCCCATCTTTTTCACGAATATCGTTGAATGCCGGTCGAGCCGATTATCCATAGAACCTCAAGACAGACGTTTTAGAGCGTTCCCGGATATTAATGACGGACAGTCGTCAGGTTCTTCGCATTACAGGAAGCTAGTTGATCTATAACAAATCTGGTACCGATTATTAATCTTGGTGGTGTTGGCCCGAGCACTGCGGAACCGCTGTCTTGCGCATATTATTGAATGGACGGCATCACTACCAAAGAACTATCCGGCCTCTGACTGATGAACCAATTTCTTAGAAAAGTATAGATGTCAATTAGAATTTTTAAAAATTTCAGATTTCTCAACTTTGCATTGCTCACACTAGGTGCTTGCTGTTTCTATTGTCTTTTCAACGTAACGTCGATAGTAGTACGGTATGGAAAGTGCACTAAAGTTTTGCTTATATGCAGTGAGTTCTTAGAAGTTCATAAATGCAAGAAATGAATAAATTTCAGGCAATTTTTAAATTTTATGATAAAGAAAATGGATGTAAAAGGAAACATTTGTTGCTTGAAGAAAAAACGACGATATATGGGATTAGGATTACGACCACCTAAAGGTGAGGATATGACAGTAGACCATATTTCCACGTGAAGTTTCGTGTTCCAAAAAAAAGATAGTGCAGCTGCTACTTCCCAACTTTTTCGTTGAAAAATTTTTGTCGTCAATGTTTCATCCTCTTTTAATATTTGTAACAAAATTATATCTGTTTCCTTGTCTTCTATACAGTTGTAGTTGTAGGCTGTGATAGTAAAAATCTCGTGTCCTATGCTTTGAAAAAGAATTTCCTAGCTCAACTATATCCTTTATGCTCATCTTCTGGATGCCTACATGCGGAGGACGAGACCATAGGTTTAATCCCCAATTTAAATACCTTTATAGGTTTAGCCTTTCTTTAAAGTTAAAGAAACGCTGGCAATGTTTTCTTAATAATTTCCAATAGCAACAGTGCAAAATTCAAGAGCTCACGCACTTAGAACTGCAACATAAGTTGTAGGTTCTTCAGCTACGTTTTAGGTCTTGTAAAGCTTTAGCTTAGTAGAAGACGTCCAAGAACAGATAGCTTTAGCTCATGTTCCGAAATGAGTTGAGCGCTGAATGCAATCAGAGCTGCGGTATCCCTAGGTAACGGACTACTAAGAATAACCTCAACTGTTCAAGACATCATTAGTAGAAATTTTGTAAATGAGTGACTATTGTGTCGAAGAAAAACAACCGCTGTAGAAAGCTGTTCTATAAATGCAGTCCATTGAAGAGTGCGTCTGAATTCCAGTGCGCATCACAAATAATGGATAAAAAAGTCTTCGAGATTGATCTATGCTCTTGTCTATTTGTCCCCATCAAACATCTTAGAGGTGATTGAAAGCATAAATGTCGTATACAATGAATGACTTGTGAAGGGTTTCCAATATATCATATCAGTGTTTTTACCTTCCCGAATATGTCTGGTTCTGGTTTGCCAACCCGGAAACGAGATTTACCCGTAGGCGGAATCGACCCAATGATATTGCATATATTTACGGCGCACCTCTCGCTACTACTGTATGATCCTATTTGTACCACATAAGTTGAAGTGAAACATACCTGTCCGTCTAAAAAGTTATAATTTTGGTATAGTTATTCCTTGATAGAATGCGACATACAGAACAAAAACGTAAATAAAAGTGTAATATAGCTTAAATGATGCTGAGATATTTGCGAAACTCCGGACCGCAGATGTCTGCGGTGGAGAACGAACGCGCTATTGTCCTTTCCAGGGAGTAACGCGTTCACCACCATACAATGCGGGTCCTTCGTTTCGCCGATAGAACTAGCCGAGAGACAGGCGAAATGGAGGAACCGCATGGTGTGATGGTGAACGCGTTACTACCCGGAAAGGACAACAGCGCATTCGTTCCCCACCGGAGACACCTACGGTCCGGAGTTTTGCAAATATCTCAGCAACGTTGTGGAAAGTAACCGATAGTTGGGTCAAAGCTGTTAACATTCACCTGGTTTATTACAACGTTTTAATTTTTACTTACTTATAGGTTACTTTAATCTAGGATTGTGCTTGAATTTAGCCCTAGTTATCACTCGTTGAATAAATTGAAATTCTTCAAAGGAAGCCATGTAAAAGTTCCTTCCACAAAAAACGGACAAAGGTTTCAAAGCATTGATAGTAATCAAAATGAGACAGCACATTTCAGGTTACGATGAGGCATCTGAGAGGTCATCATTAGATTATCAGGACGGACTACTGTCGTTGAAGGAATTTCTGATGAGTAATCAAAGTTCAGTGCTTTTACTACAAAAGCATTTAATCAAAAGCGCACTGAAAAATGCTGTCGATAACGAAGAGGAAAAAATTTCTGCAACTCGTGTTGGTCCGATGGGTATTCTCGATCAAGCGTTTGGAGATGAAAACTAATTCGGAAGAAAAGGCGATATGATAATGTGACAATATATGAGACGGTCCGGTTGTTTTCTGTATCAAAATCACTTCCAACACAACTGATCATTGCTACAATAGAACTGACTCTCAGGTTTTCCTATCTTAATCCACGTAAATTATCTCGCCCAGTGATCTATAGGTTCCGCGCAAAACTTTACATATCTGAAGTTAACTAAGCAGGATAAGTAAGAACAGCATAGCATTGAAGGAATATAGATGGAGGACTAATTTCTTTGCGTAAACAATAACACTTTCGGTAAGACTTTTCAGAAAATATTGTTATGGAAAGTTGAACCGATACCCACCACTTGTTATGTACGGCAATAGCTCACATTTTACATGATTTTATTCAGGTCTGTCGTAATGTACTAACGTAGAGAAACTAGAGTATTGGAACATTGTCAGGTGCTAAAAGAACGTATATAGAGAATTCTTTTGCCGATACTGTTTTAATTTAGTCTTCGTTTGTGCGTATTTGTACCAACTTCCCATTACTAAAAATTCCAGATTAATCTTCTCCATCACACCTACTTGAAAATATGACTCCTATGGAAGTCATAATTGGTGGAACCACTTACAAAATAGATAGGAAAACCAGGTTATAGACCAGTAATCAAGAAAAGCTACGGCGCTATTTATTGAAGCATTATAGCCAATATGACTTCTATAGGTGCCATAGCAAGTGCGATAAAAACGATTCGGTGTCGTTCTACGCGACCGCCAATCAAAATTAAGAGTTGTCTCCCTAGTGATAACGCATTAGCAAGGATGGGTAGGAAAAACTTTCTTGATGTTAAAGTTGTTGAATTTTCTTTGTATTGTCTTAGATTAGCGTAATGCTCACGGGTTTCACAACCACAGCACTTCATTAATATTCCCTCTTGATTGTGATAGTCTATTTTTGTTCTACTCAACGGATCTTCTCGCAGCTTATAATAGATTATACAGGGCTTACTATTTACACCATTTTTTCTTTATTTTTTGTAATCTGTATTATGTGCCTCGATAGCCATCAACACCTCCGGCTGATCTGCTTTCGTATATAAAACTAGCCGACTAATAACATTCAACACGTTAACTTAAGTTGTAACTTCTGCTGAATGGTAGTTCGTGAGAGAATTTTTGAAGTTTAAAACAAAAAAAAGTTGCACAAAAAGATTACCGTGACCGCTTTTAGTCATTTCCTTCTATACGATTGACATGATGGTTAAATTAATGCCATGATTTTCGCAAAATACTTCCTCTTGGTGAGCTTGTCTGAAACCTCTATGAATAACATACATATCGATTGACAATGCGTATTGTATTCGAAAATGTAACTCTTGACTTACCATCGTACCGGTGTGTAGCTATTGTATATACAAATGTATTAAATTTGTCTTCTATTATTTCATTGATCTGAAATGCTTTTTTTCGAACGGAAAAGACAAATGTATACAAAGCGTCACTGCATCAGAAACTACTGCAACGTAAATGACGTTAGTGATTTCACATCGAGGTTGCTCTTTACCCTATTTTCTCTTCGTATTTTTGTTGAGCAAACGCGAGGTGTTGTTATTCTTTATTCACGAATAAGCTGACGTTTCGGCGAATTTCGCCTTCCTCAGAGCCTGGAAAGGTCAAGTTGTTAGCAATCTACAGGGCCAGACGCCTCCATAACCAAACAAGGAAACTCTAAACCAAGATTTCAATCACACTGAACAGCTTTGCACACTCACCGCTTTCTAAGAGGTTTCCACTAAGTATGTCACGTAGAGACCAACCGCACAGAAATCACATGGAAGCATAACGTGACCCTCCCATCAGAATAGCAGTCTTACATACTGCCCTATATCACGCGTGATAATGAGGCATTCTTCCCTGCGGTTCATTTTCGGATTTCTGGAGTTAATCCAGAATGCCTCGAGAGTTTTCCGCGCCTGTGTTCTTGATTCGCGTGCTAGGATCGTGACACATACTTCAAAGTCCTCCCCGTTATGTCTCTGGGTCCTATGCGTGCCTAGCGGTGTATTCAGTCTATGTTTGCCGGCTAGGTGTTCTTTTATGCGGACACAGAGTGGTCTGCCCGTTTCGCCAATGTATTCGTCACCGCACATCTTACAGGAGATCAGATAAATTATACCCGAGCTCATGCAATCACCGTCTCTACCACTGGGGCAAATTATGAAATTTTGAGTTGCACATAGACGGTCATGTAAGCGGTTGCGAACTAGCTGGCGCTTAAGATTACTCGGTGGTATTTTAACTACGTCTACCGAATTCTCTAAACCTGGCCTTCTTAAGCAGCGTTTTATAGCAGTACTTATATCATTTGAGATGAAGGGTAGGATAAACAGGACCCTTCTATCACTAGAGGTGTTGTTTGGAGGCCTAGGATTTCTCCTACACCTATCCTGAGCTACAGTTTCCTAGCCATTAGAAATGGGTATTTGCCGTGCCAAGTTCCGGGACTCCTCTCTCTGCTCTCTTCCCGTGCACACGTTGGTTGCTGTTCGAAACATGTTTCTTATCAGCGCCCTTTTCGTGTGAGAGGGGTGAGAGGAGAGGTAATGAACCAAAATGTTTTTACTACTTGGCTTTCGGTACCACTTTGTAATGCAGCCATTTTCTGATAGGTGAATTTGTACGTTCAGGAATGGAAGCCATTTTTCTTTCGGCTTTTCTCCGGTGAACTTGATATACTCTGACTGTTCAACTAACAACTGGAAACATTTGTCCATTTCCTCTTGCGTCGAGCAAAGAACAAAGCAGTCGTCTACATACCTACAGTAAAGTAGCGGCCCCAGATCAGTCACCGGTGCTTCCACCTTAGACATAAATGCAATGGCAAGGCTTGGAGCCAGTCGTTGTCTCATTGCCAACCCTCTTATTTGAGCGTAGTATTTTCCAGACCATCTGAAGATTGAGCAGGTCAAGCATTCTTTTAAGAGTGCCATCAGGTGCTCTATCTTGAAGCCATACATGTCTATTTCTCTTTCGTGTTGTGTAAGGAGTTCAAGTATGGCTTGCATTGCGGAGTCATTCGACACGTTTATATAAAGGGCGCTAACGTCGAAAGACTCCATCAAGCACGCGCTGTTGGGCTGCGCAGTACGTAGACGATCCAGAAACATCTGGGTATTCGTAAGATGGGCTGGAATGTGTTTCAACAACTGGTTAAATATTAGAGTTAAAAACCATGTTATCCTGTCCGTTGGCCCGTCTACGCAGCTAATGATAGGCCTAACCTTAAATAGTGATGGATCGATAGACGCAAGATCATCGCTGGATTCTAACTTATGAGCTTTTATAAGTAAGTACAAGACGGGGCATGTTGGTAACTTTAAGTTGAGAGATAACTGATGGTTTTAAACCAGCAGCCCTTGCGATTTTGGCCCATTCGTGGTTCAATTTTCGGTATTTTCTTTTAAATTCCTTCTCAGATAATGGGCGATAAAGCGAAGCATCTTCAAGATGCTTTTTCGTTATCTTCACATCTAACTGATGAGGAATTACGACAAACTCTCCACCCTTATCACTAACGGATAGTCTTATGGTTTTCAACCTTATCAGCTCTCGTACCTCTCGCATACCACGTTTTTGCACTAGAGTGAGGTTTGAGCTGTATCTTTTCGCGCGATAGTGATTAAGGACTTTGAGAGTTTCATTCGCAAACATCCGAAAATTAACATCAACTTCATTATTGGGCTCTTGTTGTCTAAAGAACGTCAGAAGAAATGGTGCTATCGGTAGGGCCCCCACTTCGTGTTGTTCGCACCTATTTAGCGTTTCATCTCTAGCCTTTTTTTCGGAGTCTATCTTGAAGTTCATGTAAACCACATGCGACCCTACGCAAGGTTATCTTAGAAATGGGTTCAGATGGTGAGAA